CTGTTGTTTCCATTCTGGTGTGGCAGAGTGGCATTTGCTAGAGTAGGGTAAAAAGCTAAAACGGCAGGAGGCATGCGGCATGCGGCATACGACTAGAGAGACGCTGTCGCAGACGCAGCCACAGACGACGCCACTTGTCTTGTCGTGTCTCAAATTAATTAAAGACTCATCTACATATTTCATTTCCACTCCAACTGGTTGTTTAGTGGACAAGAAAAAGCCGCAACAACCAGCCAAGAAAATGCGGAAAAAACCTGGACCAGAGATGCGATGGGGGCAACGCGTCTCTGCGGGAAATCTTTCCGCCCAAAATTGGCCTGTCACTGGCCCAGAGGCCGGTCCCTGGTGTGGAGGCGTGGCTGTGGTTTCACAAAGCATTTTACAGTTTTTAACATCTTTCTTAACATCATTTTTTTCTCTTTTTTCAAAAACATAATTTTCAACATTTTCTAACATCATTTTCGGGCCCCCCATTTGTCTGTTTTAACATTTTACAACATTTTTTCCGCTTACATTTTCTGGTGGTGTTTTCTCAGCCTTGTATTAATTTGTAAGAATTTGATTTCGTTTTATTTTAAGGCCATAAACTTTCACTGGAAAAAGTTTCAGCCTAATCGGCTTTCGGGTCTGCCTTGGTGGGCTGGCACTCAGAAACTGGCCATACTTTACACATTATTAGTCTAATTTAATCAAATGAAGGCATTCCCAATAAGCCGATTCATTTTTCATTAATGAATTGGGTCCGCTGTGAGATCTGAGTCCGCGAGCGGCGATAGCCAACCCTCTGGGGTCTGGGGAACGGTAGCATAGATAGGATGCCATTTATCTGTCGAGAGAAAGCCACAGAATGGGAATGCAGGAATCCACATAGATTTCATTTGGAAGATATCATAATATTTTCCATTATTATAAGCCGTATGCAACGATGTGGGAAATCCCTGTTTTGGGGGGCGTAAACTACCCCCAGAGAAAAATCTCATCATCTGTCAAGACGATTGTAATTTATTTATTTGCGCATTTTCGCATTTTCGGAAATTGGCCAATAAGGTATTCGATTGCAGGATATCCGTTTCCCCGCCCAAAAAAAAAAATGCAACAAAAAAGATACAGATACAAAGAGAGAGTGGTGTGGAGTCGCGGAAGAGGGTGCGAGGTTTAGCCAACTGTGAATTGAATTTTTTGCCACTCACAGACGTTTGAGTGTTTGAGTGCTTGAATGGGTGTTAATATGAGATGCGAATACCGGAATGGGATTGCAATTTCTCCAACGAACCATGAAATGCCATCGATTTAGGGTGAGAATTGGGCACCAGGGCACAGGCACAGGGGACCACAAACATTTACATAAGTAGCTTTGATTTAAAAGGAAAATCTAAGGCAAGATCTGCTTATCGTATCGTAGCACCGCCCACGGTTTGATTTATGGCCCGAAGAAATGCAGGAAGAAGTGCCTGAAGATTTATGGCCTTCTTCCCCAGTGGAAAAACGACAACTCAATAAAGTGGCTACTAATTGGCCTTTAATAGACAGACAACTGATTGTTAACTCTTTGGTTTGGATCTGTGGATTGTCTTTTGGCCTCCAAAAATTGATTGATCTGCTCGCCCTCTAATTCAAATCAAATTGTCAAAATACGCTGCCCACGATCATAAATTAGGGACCACAAAGGCCAGACCACGCGGCGTGGCACAGTAGTGGCTGAGAGTCGAGTCCAAACAAAAGCCTATTATATTCCACAGAGAGAGGACACATCGAGAGAAAGAGATGTTCCCAGAGATATCTTTTTTTTATGGGCTGTGCATACCATTCCGAGCATTATGTTAAATACGCACCACAAAAGTGATCGTAAATTTTCATAAAATGTCACGCCAAAACGTCACACTTTTTTTTGTCTGTAAGCATAATTAAAAATATAATAAGAATGGCTTATGGATACCGATTATATTTTATTCGTTTTTCGGGCCTTCACATAAATTGGACAAAAATTAAGGTCTCATTTGCATATGTCCCTCCCTCCCTCACTCCTTTAACAGTTATCGAAGGAACCAACTCCGAACCATCCAACCATGGCCCATACATAACTCAATCGAGCACCTTCCTTTCAAAAACTTGCGACTTTGACAGGCATATTTTTGGACATTTTAATTATTGTCAGAGCGTGACATTCATTGGGACGAGCGAGGGCTTATTATTTCCCGCTGTCCCTCTGTCTGTCTCACCGGATCCGAGGCGGACTACGTGCTTAATATGTGGGTAATTTAAAGCAGCTCAGAAGCGTGCCAGGAATTTGGATACGATCCGAAGTGTATGCATTGTCGTACTTTGGATTTCCCCCCATTGGGTGGTGTGGTGTGGTGGTTCAATGAACTGCAGTCCGCGCACTCGACACATTGATTGATCAATAAAAGATCATTTGATTATCATTATGCCTGTATTTCACACCTCAAACAAAACGATATGGTTATTGACTGAGCAAATGGGTATTGGGTGAAAATTAGACGAGTTTTTATAGGAAATACACTAATTTCGTTCTTCGGAAATATAAAATAAAAGGTAAAAATGGGAAATATAACCATTTTCCTCATAAAAACCAAATAAAATTCCTTGATTTCATGATCATTTTCATAGGAAACTTTATTGCAAATACTAAATAAACCATAAAATACTATTTCTACGATAAAAAATATATAAATATATAAAAAAGAATACAATGCCCTTTCAATCGGACATAGGCCCCGGCGAGATTCGAACTCACGATCTCCTGTTTACTAGACAGGCGCTTTAACCAACTAAGCCACGGCGCCACATGCGAACAATTACGCCAAAGTTCTATCATATGCTGAGAGAGCACAAACAGACAGCCGCTCTCTTCGCTTGTTTTGTTCTCTGCAGAGCTAAAAATAGCCTATGGGCTGTAGGATGGAAAGAGACACACACATGCACACAGCAGCAGCATCAGCGAATGGAATGGAAACTCTTCCCACGAGAATTCATAAATATAAATGATTCTTTTTGAAAACAATTTAATACGCTAAAAGTTGTCGCTGCACAGACATGTATAAAAGATAAAAAAAAGAAGAAAAATTACGTTTTGTTAACTCGAGCAAAACAAATCGTTTTTTAAATGAGTCGAAAAGAGTCGCACAGTCGCAACCCACGACCAGCACGACGCAAGTGAAATGCAACACCACATGGGTATTACGGGGGGTATTCGGGGACAGCGACAGCTCCACCAAAGTGAAAGGCTGTCACTGGGCGGGCCTCCCCTTTGGTTTTAACAAATGAACTGACGCGCTTAGCATGTCATTTGTTTAGTATGTCTGTTTTTTTGTACACACACCCTATTACCCTATTGGATAGGGTATTATCAGTCTTTGGAGAGCAGATGCCTGCCTAGAGCTTACATAGAAGAGAGAGGTATCAAAACTTCGGTGCTGCAATGAGCATTAAATACCCAAAACTCTTCTCTCCTCTGGTACCAACGGGAACAATTACTCATGTCATTGGGAATTTCTTTTGGATGCGAGGGAAATTATAAATCTATCGTATAAACGAGAACGGAACGAAATTCGTGGCAAGGGGCAAGGGAACAAACATGGAATTTTGTAGTTGTTGTTTTTTGCCATAAGTTTACAATTTCCGTATTGTAAAAGAGAAAAAAAACTGGAGGGAGGGAAATTCTGGCACTGGAAGTCCAAGAGGAAGAGAGTGGTGTTCCGGGTGTGAAAGCTAAGGGCCGGGGGGGAGGAGAAGGGCCCCTGTAAATAAAAACGCATGAATGCCTTTTCTGTTTGTGGCCGGAGTTGCCGTTGCCGTTGCAGTTGCAGTTGCAGTTGCAGTTGCAGATACGGTAGTGGCATATACCCATATGGGCCATAAATTGCATGCCTATTGACAGCAGTATTTTATGATATTTGCCTGAGCCGCCATAGCGTCTGTCTGTTTATCTCCTGGCACAGTTTTCACAGAACTGGGGAAAGAGAGAGAGAGTGAGAGAGTCAGATGAGATAATTCCCGGGCATTACATCACTTAAAGAGTTCCTAATGGGAAGAAACGTTTAATTCCAAGAGTTCCCTATAAAAATCCCTCTCTTACAGAGCTGTCATTAAAATGTGCATCAATTTTTGATGGTTAATAAAGGCATTCCCATCTTCCATTTCCATGCCAAAAACTATTTCCTTTCCTTGAAAAATTCTTTCCATATTTTCCAAACTCGAATATCAATTTTTCCATCACTCAAGTGGCCAATCCACAAAGCCACTTGAATCGGAGTTCCGCGTTAGATGTTCGATTATGTGTGTGTTCCGTGGCTCTAATAATAATTTTTATTATGAACCTCAGAAATTCTTTTGCAGCTGGCTGGGATTTTCCATTTCCTATTGGAAATTGCTCCCGTAACAAGCTGCGATATTTATAAATTGATGTTTATTATGCGCACAAAGTGCATAAAGTTCATTGAACGAACTCCAAAACAGCAAAAGAGTAGAGTGCTGACACACTTTGGCCGCCAGGCCACTGCCACAGCCACAGCCACAGCCACAGCCACAGCCGGAGCCCCAGTGCCAACTGACAAAGAGGCAGGCGGTCGGTCCTCCTCCTCCTCCTCCTCCTCCTTTCATGGCTGCTGCTGGGGGGACCACACAAGTGGTTTGACCTTAAACGATGTTGAACTTGAATTTTTTTTCGGTCTGTGTGTGTTTTTTCCAGACTTCAAGTGCAAGGCGGCAATTTCAATTAACCCGAAGCAATGATCTTTATATAATTTATGTCCGCTTTCCGGGCACATATTTCCATTGGGTTGACAAATGTGGAATCTATGATTAAGTGAATCGCAGCTGGAACTTCTTTAAATGGTTTATATTTCTTTAGGTTTTTTTTTCGAGTATTTTTAAGACATCTCTCCCGGCCCTTTGGGGCAGCTTTTGACATCCTGACACCTTGTTTTTTGGGTCTGACTTTGATTGATAATTAATTAATCTGAGACTTTCTCCTGTTGCAGCGATTCTCCAGCGCTCCACCGTGGATGTGGGACGCATTAAGCTGCAGAGCGTGGCCACATGCCTGTACCTGTGCATGGATGCCTGTGGCGCTGTCTATGGCTCGGTAAGTAAGCTAAACATTGTACCAAAAAAACCACTAAAAATATAGATTCAAATACAGATAAATTATGGGCAGCCCTTCACTGAACTTCAATGAACTGCAATTATTTTTCGCATTACAATTACACGCTCTTCTACGCATAGCTCTAGATTTGTCCTTTGTTTTTCCCCTGCCCTTCACTCTCTCTTTCCCAAAAAAAAACAAACAAAGGAACTGTTAAAAGATTGAGGTAAACCCCGACAAAAACCTAATAAAAGAAAGCAAGAGGAGAGCTCTCTTTTCTAGACAATAAATAAAAAAATTAAATGTGAACAAAAACAAAGCAACACCAGAGATCAGGAGCGACCTTTCCAAGTGCCAACTGATATCGGTCGTCCTTCGGAGAGGGTCCTTTCTGCCTGCCACACTGCCACACTGCCACACTGCCACAATTAATGTGACACTTTATCCCGCTGTGACTCGAACATCGGCGATGCCTTTTTTTGGTCTGGCGCCAGCCAACAATGGACCACATTTCGATCGACATTAGTTTTTAGTGTTTTTCGAATTTTTTCGTGTTTGAATTTATTTCATTTCTTGCCGCTGTCGATGTCGATGTCGATGTCGATGTCGCATGGCACTTTGACCTTTTTCGCATTCGAAATAGAAGCGACTGTGCCAATTCTGTCAGCCTGGCATTCGTTTTGTTGTATCTGAAAGATACTCTACTGCAGAGCTGCAATGTGCAATGTGCAGTGTGCGTGCTGCTGCTGGGGTGTTGATTGATGCGCTTCACCAGCGACGACGGCGGCGGCGGCCCTTTGAAGGCGCCGCATATCTTCGAAAGTTGGTCAAGTGGGCGGCTCTTGTTGTTTATTTTGGCGACCCCAGCGTCCGGCCAGCGGCGTCCGCCGCAGCCACAGACATATAATTTACACTTTTTATTACAACTTTTCGGTTGTGATTTACTCCCAAGCCTCTGAAGAGTCTCTTTCCTGTGTGTTCTATTTATAGGGGAATTACTCTGGCAAGCATTTCGTTATAATATTTGAAATATTTTTGGCCGCAATCTTGTGACTTGTCAGGTGATTTGCCTGCTAATTGAAAAGGCCTAAAACAAGCAAATGGTTTGCCAATTCATAAATTCTCAGACCCCCTTCACGGCTGAGTCACCAAATAAAAATGTGGTTTTGTTTCATATAAATACACGGCTTTTGGCTTATTAATTTGCATAATTTGTTCTCTGGGCAGACCACACGCTGTGAGGGTTTGTTGGAGACCAATTAATGGTCGATGAATACGTTGCATCATTATCATGGTTATTGTCCTGTTTCGGACCTTTTGGAACGCGTCACGCGGCGCTGATGATTCTCTAAGTGGTTCCGTTTGTAGGTGTTCTCTTTTTATCTAGAGAGACGGAAACAACCGGTTGACCCTTGGCCCTGGCGCCAAATAGAGAGGTGTCTTCGAGCTAATGGCTCTCTAGATATCTCTTCTATTTTCTTCTTTTACTCTCGAGTGTGTTTTTCTTTATCAAAGTACAACTTCATTTGGTTTTTCCTTTGGTGACTGCAAAAAAAAAATTGTCACTTGCAAGACATTAAAAACTAAAAATAAACCGAAATGCTAGGAAATAACATAAAAGACTGAGAGTCTAGTGAAAGAGGAGTCGACATTGTTGCCACATATGTCACAAAAATGTGTCTCGTCGCGGCACGACCTCAACCTCCAACCCCCCAACCCCCAACCCCAACACCGAAAACACAACTCAAAATCGTTTGTTGAATGGCGTCAACATTTTGTGCCTCAATCTCTACTGCCTCCTGCCCCCTGCCCCCTGCCTGCTCTCCACTCATTTGATGCCTCATTTCATATCGGATTGTCTGGCGGCGTCGCGCTCCTGACTTTTGCCTGATTAATTTCTAAATTTAAGCGGCGACATTTTGCCTTCCCCTTGGGTTGCCATTTTATTTACGAAACAATTTTAATTGCCTGACAAGCGAATTAATTCAATGTTGTTAATTGAATTTGATCTTCTGCCAGTCGGTCGGCACATCTCCAAAGGCCACCATCCCCACAGCCCATCCCAGGCGTCCTTTCCCTTTTGGGCCTTGAATTTACATTTCTACCTAAAAAAACGAATGTACAAATTTCACTCCTTCTTTTTGGTTTTTGGAAATTCTTTCGGTTTGTTGCTGTTGTCCTTTGTGTGCCCGCGCTGTCATGTGGCATTCATAAAGTAGAAATGTTTATGGCTTGGATGGCTATCTGGATGGCCAACACCGATAGCGAGCACATCCTGTGATAATGAGCGCATTTATCTCAGAGATTTCACATTCCGATAGACAAAAGGGAATAGACGCCGCCTTGGAACAACTGTTTGGTGCTTCAAAGAATGGAGAAAGGGGTTCGGCTTTGTTTGGTGAATGCACCTTTTGAAGTGGCCTCACCAAAGGGTTTAACATTGGTTCCATTTACTGGACATTGCTTCTGCGGAAGCAACAGCTTCTAGAGGAGGGGCACTGCTGCATGACACAAAACGCTAGAGCATTTGTCATCCTATTAAGATGGATTCGGTTCACTTTTAGTGGATTTTACATGCCACAAATAAAGATATCAAAAGCTTTCGATCATTTTATCGATCACTTTCGATACTCTAGCGATCCCTTTTCCATCCTGTCGATCACTTTTTCGATACCTAACGATATTTTTTGATAGTTTTCAATCTTTTTCCCTGACTGAAGTCCTCCCTGGCACTTACTTTACTCGTACTCGATAATTATTGTAGCCAAATCATTTAATCATAGGTCTCCGCTCTGTTGCAGAAAGATTTCACCGACGACTGTGTCTTCAACGAAAACATGGGCCTGCAGAACTACAACACGTACTCCTCCACCTACAACTCGAATGCCCGGAGGGTCTACTACCTGGCCCTGAATCGCCACGGCGAGCCCAGGCGGACCCAGATACCGGCCAGCCGTTCGCTGGGGAAGCTTACCACCTACACGAACGCCATCACGGAGACGGTGCCCCAGGAGCGGGTGGAGCAGTTGATAGCCAAGAATTTTGGGGCGAATCGCATCAAGCACGGCGTGCGGCAACTCTGTGATACGGGCAAGCCGCTGATTGAATTGATTGATGCGGCGAATTTTAAGAAGCCACCAGAGTGTAGCAGTACTGGAAGTGGCAGTGGCACGAGTGCTACCACTACTACCAGCTGTGGGGGCAGCAGTTCTTCGTGTACTTCCCCCACAACCAGTAGTAATAGTAGCAGTACAGTTCCTGTGCCTGCGGCCAGAGCCTCCGGCAGCCTGATTAGTATTAGTAACAGTAGTCAAAGCGAGAGCGGCCATATTAGCAGTAGCCTTAGCACTAGCACTAGTAATAGTACTAGCAGTAGCAGTAGCAGTAGTAGCAGTAGCAGTAGCAGTAGCAGTAGTCCCTTGCATCCTCCTCCTCCGCCGCATCCTCTGCATCCAAAGCAGAAGAAGAAGAAGCTACGCAAATGCAAGCTCCACGAAAGCGAGGAGCTACACAATTGCCAGAAGCGACCCGCGGGCGGCGGGGCTGGGGCTCTGAGAAAACGCGGCCCCAAGGCCCAGCGCTGCAAGGAGCTGCGCGACAAGGCGGCAGCAGAGGGTGGTCCGCCACCTAACTGTGGCAAGAAGAACGGTGCAAAGAAGAATGCAGCAGGCGGAGCAGTAGAAGCCTCCCCGCCAGCCCAGCCCAAGGCCGTCCAACAGCGGCCACGAGCGGGGATGGGTGGCAAGAAGAAAGGGCCACCCAAGGGCGGCAAGCAGCGTCCGATTGGTGGCAAGAAGCAGCTCCAGCAGGCCAGAGGGGCGGCCTTGTGGGGCAGTGGCAAGCAGCGCAAGCAGCGACCCAGCACCACGACGATGGCCACCAGCCTGGCCACGCCCTCGGACAGCCACTGGGAGAGCAGCTCCCCGCTGCCGTCGATGGCGCTGAGCGAGACCAGCGATCGCGTGGAGCGGAATGTCCGCATGAGCAGCATGGAGGAGGAGCAGGACGAGGACGAGGGATCCCTGGAGGATGCCAGCTACGAGGACGCCACATCCGAGGCGCATGCGCGCAGTGCCGCTGGCGACGATTCGCTATACTACGATTTGTGAGTTTTCCCCTTCCTCAAAATCAAAATTTCTAACCTTAAATTCCACCTTAAATTGGAACTAAAAAAACATTTTATAAATTTTAAATTAAAAATTTTCTAAATTTTATTAAATATTTTTTAAATTACTTTTTTTTGATTGGCAATTAACTTTGTATTATCATTATTTCTCACATTTTGTACTGTTTGCAACAAAATTATTTAATTTTTTATTTTTGATTTAAAAAATATTTTTTTTTTGTTTTTCAAAATTTTATATTTTTTTACGTAGTTGGAAAATTGAGAAATTTTTAATTTTTGGTTTGGCAAAAGGAATTAAATATTAAAAACAAAAAAAAAAACGTACAAAGTGTGGAAGGAATTCGAAACCCCCCCACAATAAAAGTGAGAGAAAAATCAAAAGAAAATTCAGTGTAAAAAGTTGATATCAGAGAGATATGCGAACGATATTGTAATTTGCAAGTTTCCAACAACACAACAACACCATCATCATCATCACACACCGCACATAAACCCCATACCATCCATCATATGTGTGTATATATATGATATATATCCCCAACCCCAAGAACTGTGGTTCACTAAAGTATTTTTGATGCAGCGGACCATTGTCCCCCAGCGATGATCGCCACACGGGGACACGATGAATATCAAAATGTATTACGACGGAGTCTCGAGAATTTTATAAGAACCGAACCACCCAAAAAAATTGGATTAGAATTACCATCGAAATTTATGATAAATTGCACTCCCATCCGACAACAGAACAGATGTGTATTCTATATGTATGTATAATCGCAGGCCATAACACTAGATCTAAACAAAAGTCTATTGAAATACTTGAGTCTCTTGAAGAACGATGAAAAAATACTCAAAAATACGACCACATGGAAAAAAAGGAAACCGATAACTTGCAAAGAGTGCGCTTTAAATCGTTTGTAATAGCTGTTATCGAAACGGAGAAAATTTCGAATATGTTGAGAGAACCTTCTTGTACATAGAACCACACACCACACGGTTTTAGTCCTTAAGATACTATGCAAAACGATTAAAAACAAAAACTCACAAATCACAAGAATTGTATTTTTATTTATAAACTTTTTGAGCAAACAAAGCTAATATGTATGTAATTAATATTTATTTTCGAATCGATCGATCGGCCAGAGATAAGCGTGAAATTATAGCTAATAGATTTTTTGTATAATTGAGTTATTTATTGTATTTATTTGCAAATACTATTTATTTATAGACTACTAGATTAAGTTTCCCTAGAACTAACAGATCTTTGTTATACTTAAAAAACAATTTCCATATAAGTGAGTAGAACGAGAAAAGAGCATGAGAAAAAAACTAAACAAAATAAAATACAATTAAAAATAAAATTAAAAATACATTAATATCAAAAAATGTCGAGAGTTTGTTCGAATTTTTTTTATTATAGATTGAAGAGTGGTAAGAGGAGTAGCATTACATATCCATTCTTTTTTTTTGCATGGCATTTTGCACGTTGAAATAAATTTGTACAAAATTGATCACTATTCACTCATTTATTTATTTTTTGGCATGGTTTCGCTATAAGATCAGTAATTGATCCCCCATAATTTCCACTATAATATTCTATATAAACTTTACAGCCTCTGTCTGCTGTTCCTGCCGCTGATGGTCCTGCGAAGAAGCATTCTATGAAGAGAAAGAAAGAGAGAGATGATCGATCCACCACACAAAAGAAAAGCTAAAGTTCCTGATCTTTAAGCATAAGAGTTCTACTACGATACCAGATACCACAAAAAATAGAGTATAATATTTTTCGTATTTACATATAATTTAAGACTGAAGAAATACAGAGATACAACTATCGTTAGTGAAAGAGAAAACTGAAAACAAAACGCTGCTGTAAATAAATGAACAATATTCGAAGAAAACCCCTTATCTTTGATTTTATGGAACACCATTGGAAATTTCCCTAAATTACCGTTTTGTTACGATTGTCATTATTATGCTGCCAAACAGGTGGAACAGAGGGAGATAACAGTTAGCGCACCTCACGCTCTCCATCTCTCTCTCTCTGGCTGGAATCAGCTGACAACAGTCAAAGACCTTTTTCTCTGTCGTAATACCCAGCACGGTCAGCACGTGCCAAAAGCGTACAGATCATGTGGCCAGAGAGAGAGAGTGATCCTAGTGGCGTTGGCAGAGAGACGATTAAATAATAAATGCGAATTGAGCTAGTTTACGCTCAAATAACGGGGACTCTGCACCCAGAGACGAGACCTGTCCCGTCCCGTCCGTCTGTCTGTCTGACAGAACCGCAGTCGCAGCCGCAGTCGATTTCCATGTGTGTGAGACAAGTCACGTAGGCCTTGAAATGGCGAAATTGCTGGCTGCCGGCTCGCCCCATTTGTTCCCACATTTCATATTCATTCATACGTTGTTCTGGCTCTGCCTGGTGTATTTTTCGCATGAATAGACGAAACACGAGGCTGCCGCCCCATAAGCCGCCACCCAACCTCACCAAACCCCCCCTGCCCTGACATCACACACAGCAGCCGAAAAAGAATATAAGCGAAAACGAAACCCCAAACGAAGCGAAGCTCTCTTGGCAACATAAAAAGCGAGTGAAACGATCTCGTGTTCGATCATAAAGCTGGCGTAAGCATAAAAGAGATGGCTGATGTGTGACGTCGGCTGTGCTGTCGCGCGCTCTGCATTTCCGGACTCACCCGCTCTCCCCCACCACTGCTTACGACACAGCTCGCTCTCAGTAATCATTCTCTCCTCTCACCTGTTGTCTGTGAGCTTTAATTGCGAGCAATTGCTTCGGCTGATTAGCAGAGTTCATTCGTGAGAGCGAAGCACCGGTTGGCGCCGACTCACACACACACACACACACCCTACGGTAAGTCTTTCGCTTTTGTCTACCTTTCGTCATGAATCGAACGTAATCTGCCTTCGAAAATGAGTTCAGAGCGACATTAAACGGATTAAGACCTTAATAAAGAGTAGAAGAGACATCCTAACAATCTGTTAGGGTATGCCCAGGGCGACTACCCCCATCACTGCCTCATTTTATCGCCTACGTCTGCATCGTATTCGCTTGCTGTTTATTTGCTTTTGTGCTTTTTTGCTTTCGCACAAAATGTCATTCGGGTTTTAGGGAGCTATGCTTGCAGCCACAGGTCTACGTGACGTATGGAGAATACACAACACTTTATAGCGCTGATTCATGCCGATCCCCAATCGCATCCAAATCTAGTGGGTATCCCAAAAGCTGCTGCTGCCGCAATCTATTCGGCTGCAGCCACTTGCCATTCAATGCCAATGCCATTGCCATAACAAAAGTCAAGTGGCGGCCAAAGATTAGATAGTTTTATTAATGAAGCAGAAGCAGATGGAGATACAGATAAAGGAGTGCCAAAAAATCACGAGTGACGCTAGATCAGGGGATTACCTAAGGAATATCGAACGAATATCTTGAACGGGTGGCTCTTAGAGGTTTTGGAGCAAGGGAAAAATACCCAAGGAGAAAGAATTTAGTGGAAAATCTACGCATACCAAAGTTAAATTAAATTAAACAGATTTCAATCATCCGAAACATGACGGAAATGTCAAAAGTCTTTGCCATACCCGTTCCCGTTGTGGCTTCCCATCCGATCCACCCGCTGCCGCGTTCGGTATTTTAGTTGCATTTCTAGTTCATGGCCTGCATTGCGTGAACATGATGAATGATACCTAATTGGATTAGCTGCAATGCCTGCTCAGCTGGCACTGGGCGTACAGCCGGGAAATGGAAATGGAGAGACAGACAAGCTAAAGAGATCCAGAACCAGAGCCGGAGCCAGAGCCAAAACTCGATTGCATAACTGGCATCGGGAATCGGGAAGTCAGTCGCTTGGGAAAAGCGTGTGAAATGGAGTTGTAACCGGCATGATATTCTATTTACTAAATAATTGGACACCAAATGTCGGAGATGATGGGAGAGCATGTCAATCAAACTGCCAGACGGCGGACTTTGGGCACATGATATACGCCTCTAGCAAAAACTCATTACTAAAGAAGAGAAAATGAAAAAAAAAAAGAAATTCCAGATTAGAAAATGAAAAAAAAGAAATCCTGGAGATGCGGGGCATCGATCCCCGTACCTCTCACATGCTAAGCGAGCGCTCTACCATCTGAGCTACATCCCCTGATGGAAACATAGTGTCTTGGGTTCCACTTGAGTGCTTTTGCAACTATGGACGAATTTTATTTGGCAAAAGCTTTGCACAGAAAGCTTTTGTATATTTATTTTATTGATTATCTTCAGTGTATATCAAATTTGAAAAGGATATTTTAGATGTAGGAAAAATATTATTCAGAGACAAAATTTAATTAACAAAAAAAGCTTTCTATTGTTCCCGCCCGGGTTCGAACCGGGGACCTTGTGCGTGTGAAGCACACGTGATAACCACTACACTACGGAAACCCACGATAATTTAGTGGCAAAAGACATACAGTCTATGCGCTAGAAAGAGGAAATCAATTTCTGCGGAAGAAATGGAACAATTCAATGTATTTATGAATGAAAATATATATTTTTCTCCAAAATACTCCAAACAAATACGCAGTTTAAATGATATACATGTAAGTGTGTACTTTCTACTTCCCTACAACCAACCTTCACCTTTTTGGGTGGGCCCACAAAAACAGCACGGAGACCGAAGTCATGCCTGTGACGCTGACATTCAGGTCGTAAAACAGTTGCATATCAAAATGTTTATAAATACCAGCACACACGCCAGAGATGATCGTAAAACGAGGCTCATTAAAATGTTATAAAAACTGAATGTAAATGGGAGTAAAATGAAACAAGTGAAGCCTTGAATTGACATTGAAAAGGAGGGAAAAAAAATGAATAAAAATTGTTCCCGCCCGGGTTCGAACCGGGGACCTTGTGCGTGTGAAGCACACGTGATAACCGCTACACTACGGAAACACCTGAAGAACCGGCGGCAGAAAACGCCATTCGAACGGAAAGTCGAGGTAATGTTTGGTCAGTCTTTCCCCCTCCTGTACGAAAGATAATTTGTCACTGCTTCATTTGCATAATTTTCAAGGGAGATTCTTTAAAGGAAACCCTAATTTATGGACCTGGCGATAGGCAAGTAAAAGTGTTTGCGGGTAGTGGATTTAGCTAGCTAGTTAGTTACTTTGATTAGCGTAATCATTATAGTGGGGGGAAGGGGGTCTAAAGACCTATATATGGTGGCCGCCTATCAATGGGGCTTGGGGTCTCGTGGTGCGTGTGGAGAGCAGGGCCCCTATAAATAAATAAAATGTAAAAGCAATTAGTTGGCTTCTTGGCCAAAATTGATTGCAAATTCTGCCAGCGACGACTCTTAGGCCTCGTCGTCGTCGTCTGGTGATAAGGGTTTTCTTCGATTCTAAGTGGAATGGACACCCGCAATGATCGGGGGCCAGCAAACGGGTTCAAAGCTGCTGGTCTGGTCCCCGCGATACAAGTGACAAGTGAACATGGAAAACTAATTTATATGGCGCATGCGACAGGAAATGCAATGCAATGCCAGTGTAGAGGCCACAGTCTACTGTCTGTGGAATGCCACAGACTCCTCACAGACCCACAGACTGGTTGCTCAATGAAATGGTCTCGTCTCTCAATGGAAATGGCTAAAGAGACACTTTGGGGCAGATGAGACCTTGACCGGGTCTCTAAAAACGGTAATACGAAACCACCGCTAAAGAAAAAAAAAGTAAAAAGAAAGAAAAACAAGCGAAAAATAAGTCAAATACGTTGGCCGGGCCTTGGCTAACAACACTTTGCTCTTAACAACATCAGCGATGGCCCCAAGACCAGGACGGTGTTAAGGAATCCTATCTATTGCGGCAATCTCTGCAATATGTTCGACACTGCAAGGAAAAGAGGGATCTTCAAGGGAGAAAGAGCTAAGGAAGTCGTAAGCCAGCAATAAGGAAGGTATTTCCATATCGAAAAACAATAATTATGTATTAAAAATACTCCAAAGATACAAAATCTGAAGGAGTTATTCTTTAATTCTATAAAAAAAGTCTCTAATCATTATAGGAATTCTTATCGGGAATATATTGAATGCCTCTAAAGTACTCCAAATATTCAAAAAATAAAGGAATCCTTAATCATCATGGAACGATCGTTAACTAACTAAATACAACTATTATACCCCAAAAATTTATGGAAGATCCCCTTTTTCAAAGATTCTTTCCATATTCAATACTTTTTTATACAGAAATCCACCCTAGAAATCATGAAAAATCCCTCTAATGAACCAAAATAAAGAAATTCCCTAAGCCAAATCCACTTAAAATACATCTAAAATCCTTCAAAAATGCCCCATTCCCAAAGATTCCTGTAATTTTCCTTCCTTTTCCCCACCATTTCGCTCAGTGTTCGTTCTGTTGAGCAGCCGGTTTGCTGCATCTGCTACATCTAGCCGCAGGCTCCATCATCTGCATCATCAACTTGTGGCATCATCTCTCAAGAGATCGGCTCCGCTGCCTTGTTGACCAAGTTATGCTGCGAACAACAATATGTCATGTCCGACCGCCGAGGGGCTACATGTGGCCAGGGTTCTCTCCTCAGAGCATTCTTCACACCTCCCACAACGGGGCGGTGAAACGAGAAATTCGCACGCTCCAGGCGCCAGTCGATGGAG